GTATAAAAAGGGCCCTAAAACTTTAAATGCTTTAATTTCTATATTTTGGATATATTATTAAAAATAAAATAAAGATATAATATTTTTTAGTTTATTAAGATATATAGTCTTCAAATCCACAGCATGTTCTATTTTTAAATAGCCAAGCAGCACTTTTTAAGGTAGGGTTTTGTTAAAGCTCGGATCTTAACAATATGCATGTACATTAACAAAATTTGATACTTATCGATTATAGGGACAGTGAAGTAAAGCATGGCAACAAGTAAGCACTATGCCAAATTCTGTCTTATATAGATTGTTGATATTATAAATAGGTGGCATATTTTCGAATATTGTGGCTTATAGCGCCTGCTGGTATTATAAATACGTGCCGCTATTTAGTAGGATCAGTAACGTGTAATGGCAGTTTGAACTTAGCGCGATTTTATTCGCAATAAACTGTCAATTAGATTTTTCTAACATTTTGCTGCAAAGAGGAAAACCAGCAGTTTGCCGATAAACGAAGAAGACACAGTAAGGTTTCTTTTAACCGAAGGAAATTTTATCACAACAGCATTTTTTCGTCCAAACGGTCAACCCATGCAACTGCAAGTAGGTAATAAGTGCCGCTAGATGTGTTATATCATTGGTTATTGATCTTCGCGTGATGAATTGGTTCTCGTGATCTAGAATTCCGTTTATAGAAGCCTTACGTTTTACTTGCTGCAGGACATACGAAGGTACTTCTATGTTTGGAGTCAACGTCAGATGGAATTTAGCCTAGAAACAATCGTAGATTGAAAAAATTACATGCGCAAAGTTTGTTTTTAGAATCTGCGGAAACGATCCACGAAAAAGATCGCGAGGACGGGGGAGGTCGCTGAAATCGATGAAACTGTTCGCAAATCGGCCGGTACTTCCTGAGCAAAGGAAGTTTGTTGACATTTACCGGCAAACCATGGACTGTTTTGTTGTGGCAGTTCCTTATCGGAAAGTTAAAAAGGCCTTTCGAAGAAATTGTTGAACACATCGATAACGACTCAGTCCTTTTTTCAAACTACTGGCATAGCTACAAAACTCAAAGATTAGAAGAAGTCGGCTTTCAAAATTTGAAAGTAAACCATCGTTATAACTTTCCCTCGCTTCATGGATCCCAAAGCCAGGAATCGTACGCAGACCATAGGAAGAGTCTGGGAATCCGTGAAATATGGAAATAAGAAGCATAGAGGATCCTAGATGGACTGAATCCTTGCCTTTCGGTAGCCATGGTCTAAGACTTACGTTTAAAATTGAATTATAGGGAAATTGTTTAGAAGTAGTAGATGGTACCATCTTTAGGGTCTGACAGGAGTTTTCGACTCATCTTTTGTTTCATCAACTGATCTTTCAGCGATCTTCTCTGCCCCAAGAAAAATGTACTGATTTCACTGCGTTATGTAGCAAAGATAAGCAATGACACTGAACCCATGCAAAAAGTACTATTTTCGTACTGTTATGCAGACTTTGATACCAGTCCCATTATCTTCGTTCGACAAACCCGCAGTATTTGTACACCTGACTTTACAGTTTTGCTCTCACATGATTGCACGTTCAGATGGAATCTGAAAAACTCTTCAACTCTCTTATATCGCACCGTTTGAAGTAGAAGATCACACACCAAAGTATTTTATTTTTCTCAAGCAAGGTAACTGGTGATAATAATTTGGGCAGACCAGCATTCGTCGAGTCGAAGTTGTACAAAGAAGTACTTCAGCTGACTGCCGGTCTTCTTTGTAATACCGCCGTAATGATTTGCAGCACCAGTGACTCATCCTACTCCAGATCCAGATAGTGTTATAGTTTCTGCATCTATTGCAACTCGCCTTGGTCACCGAGTGTGTTTCAACTCACGATATCTCTTTCTATCTTCCTACCTTTGATACCTGAGGAGGGGGAAGTATTTCGGCAGAACTTCTCATTAACGAAGAAATTCAAAGCTGACAACACATGGACTCACGGGACAACTACCTACTATCACGACTTCGTGAGGTTTTAAAAATTTGAAAATGTGTTCTGTGTTCTATACTTCTTATTGCTTCCAAGGATCGAGGATTAAAGTGATTTAGTCCATATTTATCCAGCACATCTAAAGAGTTTTATGAACACTTATACTGTTAGCTTCATATTTTATATAAAAGATATTTTTAACACTATCGGTAACACGGCAATAGAAATATGTTTTAGGAATTACACTAACGGTGCGAATGCTAAAAAATCGTACATTAGATAAACGGCTAAAAATGATAGCTTTTATCTTCATTAGAGATGTCTTTCCAAAATAACCTTCTAATGGAGTCTTTCCAAAATGTCTAAACTTATACTTTCAGAAAGATTTGCTATATTACGCTACCATGCATGTATCATTCCCTCACACAGGGCATGTATTAGCACTTAGTAAAACATAAGATTTATTTTATCTTCCTGGCAATGTATTGCTTGTGGATTGTTCTCAGAATATTAGCATTCAGAAAAAGATAAAATTTTTAATTTACCTTTCAAATTTAACAACTATTTAAAGTTGCTAACAAACTAATTGAATGAATGATTAACGTAACTTGGTTTAAGAGTGATTAACATATTTTTTATAATTTAGATGTTATTAATATTATTTTTAATAGCATACCTAACTGATATAAATTAAAATTAATTTAATTTTAATGTATATAACTGACGATTTTTAAGAGAATTCTCAGTCCTATTGTGGTGAGTAAAAATGTTTTATGATATTACGCATCACCGAATAGTTTAATTTAGCTTTGCTCGTTAACATGATGTTATAATTTCATGAAAAAAAAAATCAACTATCTTATTTTCTGAATGAGTTTAAGCTAAGCTAGTATAAATAGACTATAATGAATCAGATTATGAAAACAATAGAACTTTATTCAAGAGAAGCTCGATAATTTCGTTTATCTTAAAAAAGTTTTATTCTCTGATATATTAAATCCAGTTCTGTGAATGTATATAAAGTACATGAAAACAAATTTGACCTACTAAGAAAATATTGGTTAAACATGTCGTATCGCAGATGAAAGCTTTCTCTCAAAGGTTTCGTTATGCAAAATTCTGACAATGTCCAACACTTTTTATTGAGGAACTCTAATTTAAAGAGATAAGTAAATGATGGATCATGAGTATGAGGGAATGAGTATAGTGGAGGAATGAGAACAGTTGTGGGATTTAAATTAAATGCAACAAAATTCATATGAGTAGAACTCAGATATTAGAATATTTAAATGAAAGATAAAGTAATATTGCTTTCGATAAAATAAACAGAAATAGAACAAAAATAATTACAATAAATTTTGCAGTTATAAGATTTCATGACAAATGTGAAAAATTATTTCCTTTGTTCTAATACAACCGCATTTTCAACTCATTTTTAATTAAGGCAAAAAAGATTATTTTGCGTGTCCGTACAAAGCTATTTTGCTCTACGTAAAATGCATAAAGTTTTAATTTTTATTTAGAAAAAGCAGACATGCATTATTTTTAGGGAGAGCATGAACTTATATGTGACTATTTCATAAGTACAGAATTGAGTATATATGTTTAAAATAGTTTTTTCTTTTAAATATGTTGCTAATCTTTGTCGATAATTTCGTTTATCGACAAAGATTTATATCGACTTTTGGACGCGGAAGAGGCTGAGGGAGTTAGACAGCTGAACACTGATAGTTCGACTTGGATTCATTTTCGGTAAAAGAGCTGGTACTACTGATTTCTTCGTACTTTCCCCATTGATAATGTAAATATGAGTCTGTTTCTTTTAGAAAGATTGATTGGAAGATTTGCTAGGGTTTCTAAAGGGTGCTTTAGAGAAGTAGCTCTCGCATGCTCTGCTTTGATAAATTAACTAATTAACTGAGATGCTTAGCTGAAAACAATGATGAAACAACAAATGCTTAGCTAAATATTATTTAATTTTCTAAAAAAATATATTATGCTTATTAACATGTTTAAAATAAAGTCTTTGACTAAGATTAAAAATACAACGTAATGTTTTTTAATTTTAAGGTTAATAAATTCAGATAGTATTCCAATTGGAGAACTATTTCAGTAGCTTACATTTTCTTTTCGTATGCTTATGTTTTCGAACCTTATTTGGAGGAAAAAATTTATTGACAATAAAGAAATGATTTTAGTTTTTTTTACTTATATCGCTGCTTGCCAATTTAAAGACTTGAAACTTATTTATAGTGAACAAAATACGATCATTATGTTTCTAAAAACAAAATAATTTATTTCCTCTCCCCAGAAATGCTAAAAGCTAACTCACATAATGATTTGAACATTTAAACTTTAAGAAGTTTTAATGAGTTTTTTTTTATTGCCAGTAGTTATGTTGAATTTTTTGTTTTAAATGCAAATACATAACATGAATCATTTTTTGTAGATTGAAACTCATAATTCTTCAGCAAAATACTCAAGTAATTTCAGATTGGAAACGTACACGACAAGCTGGTACATATAATTTTAAGTTACATTAGAAATTTAATTATATAGTTTAAAGGTGGCAAATCCTTAGAATTATCCCCGTAATCAGTAATGTAAAACGTTCAGTGGTTTGTGATATTAAGAAACAATGATATTCAGAAGAGTTGAAACGACTAAAAATGTTAGTACAACAATTCAAGCTATTACCAATGAATCGTAGGTTTATCCCGCAAAATATCAAACAAAACCGAAAGATTAGCACTGTAAAACTCGCAGATGGATCATAAGAATTATTTACAATGAAAGTTAATCCTAAAAGGGTCATATGAGTCTTCAGGGCATATTGATACAACTACCCATCTAATTTCAAATCGATATGTAATACTAAGATCTGTTAGAATAATTTTAATTGCTTAGTGTCTTTCGTTGCTTAATAGTGTTATCAATTTGTGTGAATAAAGTTTAATATTTTCTGAAATATTCCATAACTGTTACAATTCCTCCACGCGGTGCGTTTTTATTATGATGGGGTGCTGTTGAATTACCTCTCATTCACAAGCTTATCAACAAGCGGGTCACGTGGTCTTCGTTTCATAATATCGGATTCGGGTTTCTCGTACGCCAAAGAAATCGCCGGCACCTACAGGAAAGTAACCACCAGAAAAAAAAGTAAGGCAACACACAGACATGCAACAAGAACCTTCCACAGTTTTGATGCAACTTGTATCAAAGGCATTCCAACAAAGTTACGACAGTAGGCAATTTCATAACCAATATGCAAGACAATGATGCAATAATAACATACATATTTACAAGCATTAGATAACAACAATAATAAATTGTAGCAATAATAGTATAAAATTTGAATTAATACAAAAGAATCAATTAAAAATACAGTTATAATATCAAAAGTGTACATATTTATAACTCCTTTTGAATGAAATAAAATACATTACTAATTTTCTTAGTGATATTCCTACATTAACTATATAAGTGTCATAATTACTAATTTAGTAAATAGTTTGCTTAGCTTTAGACCTGTCAATGCACAAGAAAACACATTTGAATTTGGTTTTACATAAGCTAACATTACATAAATGTCATTAAATAATGCGAATGAATTACTTTATTACCATTTAAGAAAATGTTAAATAGGTATTTTAGTTTTTAAAGGAGCTAAATATAATAAATTAATTTAAGTTCTTATTTAAAAACATTCTAATGCCTTACACTACCTATTTTTAGTTAAATAAATTATAAATTTTATTTGACTATGTAAAATAAAAATAATGTACATAGAAAACAAAATCAAAACTTCTATGCCGGTTATAAATCAGATGCGTCACATCTAAGCATTACAAACACGTGTTTTAAAATTCAGCTGCATAAATAACGTACAGTTATTTTTAAAAAACCTTAACATAGATTTATTTAACTGCGAGCACTCAATAAGTTGCACTGCAGACAATGTTTAAAACTAATTAAAAAATTAATGACTGGCGTAATTTTAACATTTATGCGATATGTAAAATTTATTTTAGAAATTCATGAATTAATTACTTAGATTTATTTTATACTAAGGGAAATTAAAAAAAATATTGCGATAGTTCTGAAAATCTTAAAAGATGTTCACTATATTTATTTGAGTTAGAAATTATAGACTTCAAACCAATACAAAAATTTCAAGACAATAGCTTTAAAAGTATGATGTTATATTAAAATGAAAATCTTACTTATCGCATACATTTTCAATGAACACTTTTAACGCAGCATTTAGGCCAAAATATAAAGTACTTTAGAAGAATATTTAAAAGAAATTGAAAGACACATATTCATGCTGACTATCATGCTGCTGCCGATACTTACCAAGTCAGTTCCTAAATCAATGCAGAGGATAGTGACTGTCCCCAAAGGCAAAGGTACGTCGGCCAATATAAACAGCAAGAAAGGAGTAATTTCTGGAATGTTGCTTGTTAGAGTATAGGCAATAGATTTTTTCAAGTTATCAAAGATTAAACGACCTATTTGTTTTGGAAGAGAAAAGACAGACAGATAAAGACTTTAATTTATATACAAAATCAATTTAGAAAGCGCGAATTTTAAAAAGCTTTTTATTATCTGAAACATTATCAATCAAAAAAATAAATTAGAAAAAACATATTCTTAGTAGATGTAAGTTCATAATGCAAAAGTTCTTGAATGGCTTGAAAAGGTAAACTGTAAGTATGCTTTTATAAATTTATATAGTAACACAATTCAAGATAAGTACAAGAAAGATATCAGGAAGGAAACTGAGTTTTGATAAAAGGATTTTAAAACTAATTAAAAAAGTCCTTTTAAGCGAATGGTAGCCGAAAATCAATATATATTTGTGGAATTAGTGAAAAAATAGATGCATAAAATTGATGAAAACAGTACTGATGCCAACTAAATAACTTTTAGTGATGTAATACATTTTCATTTGAGTGGCTACGTCAACAATCAATACTCGAATTTCTGGTTAAATAAAACTCACATCGAGGTTGGCAAGTCTTCTAACCCAAAAATGCTACTGCTTATCAGCGAGAGAGTGGATAAGTGTGCTAAATACTGGTAACTGGACCCCATATCCAGTTCATCGATATTTTCATGATTTTCTGCATATGTCACATAAATATGAATCAGTTTTCCTAAGAAAGTCTTGCAAGAAATTATTCCTCTTGTTAGGCAGATAACCCTCATATCTTTTGGCACAATTAACTAGATAACTCAACCCAAAAAGCGTCTTAGTCTGGTTGGCAGTTTCGGACAAATCGGGTATCATAGTTCATGAGACTATCAGAAAGTTAGATTTTTTGCTAATCATGACTTTTCGAAGAAAAAACATTCTTGATAGTCATTCTGGTTATAATATTATGGTGCTATTCAACACCAAAATTCTCTTGTTTTGGATATATTTTAGAACATACGTTATTGGCAATTTATGAACCACTGGGATTCTATAGAATACCGAGGCCTTTTTATAGGATGCCAGGCATTTTATAGAATGCTTGGCATTTTTAGGCAAGTACGAAACATGAGAATTATTATATACTTTCACTAGGCAGTCTATGGAATGGCAAATGTTATTTAGTCAAAGTGTGAAAGAAGGTCAATATTTGGATTTTATTTAAAAGACATGCATTCCTCAAACGAATAACTACGATTAAAAGCTTTTATTCAAAATACATAAAGAAAAATCAAAGGTATACAAAACAAAATTTATACCTTTCTTATTAAAGAAAACAATGAATGAAAATTTATAAAATGCATGGAATAATGGAATGAATGTATTAAATATATGGATTTTGCATTTATTAAATGTATGAATATTCAAAACGAATAGACGATATATTTCATACTTTGCTGGTTTGTCATTTGGAATTCTATAGAATCCCTAGGAGATGTATGAAATGTTAATCTTTCATACACTGCCGGCCAGTTTTTCGCATTTAAAAAAAATGACTGCATATTCTATTAGAATGTCGGATTTTATACACTGTCCAGTAGCACATACATTTCACGATTAAATTATTATCCTAGATTCCTTCAAAATTCAACTCAATATTCATCTGATCTCAAATTCTACGATTTCTTTTTAGGTCTTTCTGATGAAAAAAAGGCATTGCAATCATTGCGGGGAGTGATCTCAGCTGAAACCAAATCAGTGTTTTCAAAGAATGGCAAATAAATCTGACTCACAGTTTGTAACAAAGTTACAATATATCATCGGGCAGAAAAAAAGCCCATTCGAGCACTTCATTCTGTGTAACCGTGCAATAGTTAGTTGAATAAATACCCGTTTAAGGAGTAATAACTTAAATTTCTTAGTTTCCAATATAAGCGGTTTTTTTTTTTTTTTGTGTGTGGTCTCTAATAATCTGTAGTCTGCAGTTCAACTTAATGAGTGCTTGCAGTTAAATAAATCTATGTTAAGGTTTTTAAAAATAACTGTACGTTATTTATGCAGCTGAATTTTAAAACATGTATTTGTAATGCTTAGATATGACGTATCTGATTTATAACCGGCATAGAAGTTTTGATTTTGTTTTCTATGCACATGATTTTTATTTTGCATAGTTAAATAAAATTTATAATTTATTTAACTAAAAATAGGTAGTGTAAGGCATTAGTATGTTTTTAAATAAGGATTTAAATTAATTTATTATATTTAGCTCCTTTAAAAACTAAAATACCTATTTAACATTTTCTTAAATGGTAATAAAGTAATTCATTCGCATTATTTAATGACATTTATGTAATGTAAAACCAAATTCAAATGTGTTTGCTTGTGCATTGACAGGCCTAAAGCTAAGCAAACTAATTACTATATTAGTAATTATGACACTTATATAGTTAATGCAGGAATATCACTAAGAAAATTAGTAATGTATTTTATTTAATTCAAAAGGAGTTATGAATATGTGTATTTTTGCTATTATAACTGTATTTTTAATTGATTCTTTTGTATTAATTCAAATTTTGTACTATTGTTGCTACAACTTATTATTGTTGTTATCTATTGCTCGTAAATATATATGTTATTATTGCCTCATTGTCTTGTATATTGGCCGACAATAACGGATTAATCCAAGAAAAACAAAAATTATACCCTAGATTCTTGTTTCAATGGTTGAGTGGGCTGTGTTCATGACGCGTGTAAAGTGTATATGGACCTGTTTTTGTTTTCAGAATTTCCACTATGCCATTCCTTCTTATATGCTGGTGTAGTACGTTTTGCCCTAATCAACTAATCAATCCCATTACGATTCTATTGTTTTGTGTCATATAAAGCAATTCTGGAATGCTCAATTTCAAATTTTATCGAAATTTATATCATTTTCATTAATCATATTTCATTCTGAATTTTTGTTCGTTCTAACATCAAAAGGAGTCTCACCATCGATTTTTTAATTATCCCAAATTATTCTTTGCATATATTTTAAGATAAGATAAGATAGCTTCCTTTTTCAAAGAGCTTTTCCCTTTCCCCTGAAATTAACCAATTTAATTCATATTCATTATATGTAGTATTTTAAACCATAGTCAGACTTAGAACTGGTTATCACAGAGGATTGAAAACTGACAGAGAGGGTAAGAAAACCTACAGGAACTGTGATAACTCTTCGGACACAGAACTCACAACTGCACATATTTTTGATTGTAGGGCTGTCCATGCTGAATTGTTAAAAACTGGAGTCTTGTTTGAGAGACTGAAACTCTATGATGATAATATTTTGCAAATTACTAGGGCTGTCATCATTGCCCAAGGCACTATTTGAATAGGTTTTATCATAGACACTACATCAATAACAGCAACATCAGTTTAAATCATATTCGTAATATTCCAGTATTTATATTTTGCAATTATTTCTTTACGCTTTGCAATTAATATTGCATTTTTCATATGTTTTTACCATTACGAGAATTTTAGTTTCATTTTCTTTGTTAGTTGGCAAGTAGTTTAACCATACTACTTTTATTGTCCGCTAGATTAATTTTCTTTTTTATCTTAATTTTTTCGTTTTGCTTTACTTAAAAAAAGAAGTTGAAAATAAAATAAACTGGGAACTTAAACAGTAATTTAAATAATCTAAGGCATCGTAAATAAAAGAAGGTTGCTGTTGGCAAGAATGGCAACACAATAAAATGGGTGTCTTCATTTTAAAAGAATATCAAAGAAAAAGGTGACTAAAAATTCGTGGTCAAGAAATCAATACAACACTTAAGCTTAGGTTATTATACTTAACCTCCGGATTTGGCTGCGAGTATTTCAAAAATCTATTCATAAGAGAGGTAAATGTGGGAAAAAATAAAGTTTACGAAAAGTAGAAATTTCCATAGACCACAGACAGCCCTGTTAATACTTCATTAATGAGTAAATGTATTCGTTAATGAATATCTGCTTATTGGTCATAGTATGGAATTTTTAAAAGCATGATGTACTCATTAGTAAAAATATAAATTTTCATTAAGTTTAGAAACCACGGAGAGAAATTATGTTACCATTTATGAAAAATATTAGTTTCTATGGACCACAAACTTGCCCTTAATTCTTCTTTAATGGGTAACTGCTTATTGGTTAAAATATGGTGTTTTTAAAACCAAAATGTAGATATCGTATTTACTAATTAATAAGCCATGGTTAGAAATAGTGCTTTTTGATCTGATGAAGTCCAAATAATACTGATTTACAATTTTAATAGGAGCAATGTGATTTAAAACGAAAAATGAACATTTTGAGATATTCTTAACTTAAAAAGTAGTACTATTCGTTTCTAAGCCATATTTATATCTCATTTTCAAAACTGGAAAGACTAACAGGATTATAAAGAGGAAGATACGTAAAAGTGCTTAGATGCAAAAAAAATGTGACATTAGCAAGCATTTAACTCATAACTGGATAAAATTATGAGTTTGGGATATCAGCAGAAGTAAGTTGTTAAAATATTCGTTTTAAAATTTAGGCCGTACCCTAAATTTACATCTTAAATTTTCAATAAAAATTTGTCTTAGTTCTGCAGTAATGTGATAAATGTTTTATTGCATAAAATAAAAAATTGTGATAAATTATTTTACAACTGGACTTGCTAAGAAAAGAAGCATAATGCTTTTTCTTTGCAAATTCTGCCAATAAAGAAACATAAATTAAAACATAATTTAAGCATTTCTATGAATATAAATAATTATTTGATATAATCTAAGAATTTCAATAATTTTTCTTTCTTTTTAATGACTTGCAGAAATGAAAAATTGGAATGTATACCTTCTTCTACGCCAGTCACGATGGAAGCAAAATTATCGTCCAATAATATCATGTCGGCAGCCTGTTTACTGACATCACTTCCTGCGATACCCATGGCCACACCTATAATTAAAAGAAACAGACATGTAAACTATAACCGTTTTTCACTATTGAAATCTGTATTAAAAACGAAAATAAAAGTACGTAATAAAAATAACTCTTGAAAACAAGTTAGATGTATCAGAAGGTTTTCAAGAAATACTATAATTTATGCATAATTCTAAGATATATAAACATAGAAAACTTATTATTAAGCGGTCTTAAATGACTATACTTAATCAAGTAATTGAAAAATGATTATTAATGTACGGTGCTAGAAATGTCTTTTATTAATTACACTCTAACGGTATAAATGCTTTCAAAATTATCAGTCAGATATATTACAAATTACATGAAAGCTACATTATAAAAAATAAAACAATAGACCTAAGTTGTCCTAATTTTTTCTTAAGGATAAAATTATTTAAAAAGACCTACATTATTTTAAAATCTTTTAATTTGTTACATTTAGACATACATTCTATTAACATGGAAAGCAGCGCACCAGAAAGTAGTCATCCGAATGGGACGAAAATCAGTAGATGTGACTGATATACATGTACTGAAAATTAAACGGTAACACGATCATAGGAATTAAATGTTTTCTTCAAGAAATAGAGAGAAAAAATAATACACTAGCCCACCTCTGGCCCTGGTACAAGATATTATCCGGCTGAGCACTGACTCGAAGAGTTGGCGGATGTCCTTCTGAGAGAATGCTTACCGTACACGTTCCACCTGGCGAATTAGATGGTTGCGATCCAGGGACGGTCGGAGACGCCTCTTGCTCTTCAAAGTTCATATGAGTCCTACTGAGGGAAACCCTGAAAGCGGCCCGGTCAGGGAAGTGTTAGAGAAGCACAAAGACAAGCAGTATAAAAGTATGTCATGTGTAGCCGAGCATTATCCTGTTGAAATGCAAGCCCAGGAGTAGGTGAAAAGAAGAGCCACACTACGGGGCTTAGAATCTTGCCAACATATCTCCGTGATAGTAGGATGTAACAGATGACAATCAAAGGGATCCGGATATCAAATGAAATGGCACCTCTTACCACAACTCGTAACTGTCGGGTTGCGAGGCGGACGACAATTAGGTGAGTATCCCACCGCTGTCTTTGACCGTTCCACACACGTCTTCGCTGATCATCAAGTCGGAAGTAGGATTCATTGCTAAAAACAGTTCTATTCCAGTCTGTGAGATCCCATGTCGAATTCGCCCGGCATCACAGTAAACGTGCTTGGTGGTGTACAGTGGTGAGTGGCATATGGCGCATTGGCTTCCGTGACCTCAGCTTCCCTTCACTGAGTCACCTACCAGTGGTCATTGCAATTACTATTATGCCAGTTAGATGTCGTCTCACTGACAAAAACGCATCAAGAGCTGTGAGTGCCTATCGGAAGATTACACTGTCCTTGCGTTTTTTTTGTCGCTTTACGTCGTAGGATAGTAGCATAGCTCCTACCAAAATGTCTAACGATCTAGCGATTTGATCATCCTGCTTCTTTAAATTCAATTGCACGTCCTTTTATACATGGCGACATCTGCTCATACTGTTCGCGAAGCTGTCTGCGAGGCATTAGTACAGTCCCTGTGAATTGACGGAACGACATTCGTACGGAAGTTATGTCTTAGCATTGGAGTGTCATATGCAGTTTTGTCCCATTAGGATATTTCTTGTTGTTGCGTCAGGATTTATGTTATACAATGTATTTAATTTTTTTTAAGTGTTGCAAGAAATACAGTTAAGTTTTGCAGGGAATATTTTCATTTTGGGTTTTCTTTATCCTTTCTTTCATTTCCTTTTATCATTCAAAACGTTTTGTTTTTAATTTGGACAATTTTGTACCTTTTCATTTTCATATTCCAAACAAATATTTTTCTTTATGTCTATATATTTAAATACTAATTGACAATTCTGTTAGGAGTCGTTTCCTTCCCAAAGGATGTAGATGCTATTCTGTTGCAAAATTTTCTCCAGCTGCCTTCTAAACATAGGTACGTAATTTATTAATATATCTTCTTGAACATTCTACCACTGATCTTCAAGAGGGCTTAAATCTCCATATCGTGGAGGCCACTAAAAACCTGCAACTCAGTTTAATACCATACTCTAAGCTATGGCTGAATGATAATTTCTTGTGAGGGAATGTTCTACATTGTTAAAATGAACAATTCCGTTTTGCATGGCAAATCCTCGTTGTCGTCGCTACATCCAAATTCTCTTGTCAGTTGGTAAAGATTAAAACAGAGCTTATATTATACATAATGTCCAAAACATCTGGAATCACATTGAATTCCTTCATTCATTTCAGTAATTTTGAAGTTTTTAATCTGTCTCTTTCTCATTCTTTCCTTTGGGCTCCTTTTCAATGTAAAAGACGAGGTCTTGAGATTATAAGATGGGTATTGAAAAGTAATGGAAAAATACTTATGTGGGCATTATTTTTAGACTTCTTCCAGAATAATTAAAGTGACATGTACTAATCTAGTACATCAGTGGTTCAAAAAGCATGTAATAATCTAGCAAGATGGAAAAGAATGCATTGAATGAATGACAGCTTTGTGTTACAAATAGCGCGAATGATTTCGAATATATCCTATAATATATTTTGCGGCTCCAGACTTTAGGAATACCCTGTAGAAAAGCTTTTTTTCCAACTGGAAAGCTTAAAAAGCCAGTGGCATCTTGCTACGAAATGGATTATTATACCAGAACAACGCACGGGTTTAATTTCATACAGTATTAACCCGCTGTACACTGCTCAAAAAAAAAAAAAAAAAAGGGGACAGTCCTATATCTCCCGATCTACTGGGCCGATTGACAAAATTCAAATTGCGTTCTTCATGTCTCGAAAGCGCGACTTAGGATATATATTAGATTTATATATAGCACTATTCTAACATAGGTATTTTGACACAAAATCGGACTTTTTCTGAAATAACATACCAATTTTTTTACATATTTCGATTCTACGACTCAAATTACGCCTAAATATTGAAATTTTGTAAAATTTGGAGCGAAATTTACGGAGAAATTCACAAATTTATGTTGGCACTTTTTTGTCAGTTTGCGCCAAGAATACTTCACTTGGCGAACTTCTTATACTCGTATATGGCAACCTAGTTTCCTTAGGAAAAAAAGTCACCATCGTTCCCTTTTTCCAAATAATATTCTTTATATTATATTTTTAATTATAACTTATTATTTTAAGTAATTTTTTCTTTTTCGAATTTCATTTTAATTGTTTAAGTTGCACTTTTTTTTTTTTTTTTCGAATAACTGTTTTAAAAATTTCTATTTACCTATTCGAACTGCGTAAATAAAGGTGCAGCGTTCATTTTATTTTTTTTTTCAAATAGTTTTCTTTATATATATTTTTCGTCATAGCTATTATTTTAGGTCATTTTTAAATTTTTATACTTTTATTTAATTGTTTGTGTTGCATTGTCTCTTCAGATAATTGTTTTAAAATTTTCTATTTATTCCTTCGAACTGAGCATTTTAAATATATTTATTAATATCAATTTTCCAGAATTTGATTTTATTTATTTGAACTGCGTTTTTTTCGGAAGAATACTTTGTAACCCAGACTACGATGCGTTTGAAAACTGCATACTATATTAAAAGAGAAAATACAGTAAAGCACAGTTTTACACGCCTTTCAATGTTCCGTTCAGAAAAAATATATATAAATAAGAGAGATGTATAACCGATATTTTAACTTAGGATGACTTGCATACACTGCTTTAAACAGTTTTATCATTGTGCCCATTGCTTTACACAATTTTATCATTTGGTTTCTTAAAATGTTATTCATATTTTAGTCAAATATTTTATTTTTGAAATCGCAAGAATCAAATATCATAAGATTGAAAAGTTTTAAATTTAAAAAAATACGAATACTAAATTTTACGAAAAAATTTATTTTTCTTCTCAGGCCCACAAACGGCCGAGCGGTAAAGTTGCTGAACACTGGTAGTTCACTCCGGGGTTCGAACCCCGGTAAACGGGCTGGTTGCATGAGCGTTTTCGTGGATTTTCTCATGTGTACCGCGTATGACAGCTGGTTTCCCTTAGAAAGTTCTTCACGAAGTATTTCGTCAGAGCCTTTATCAGTCTTTAGAGGCTAAACATTTTGAAACTATGAGATGAAAGGAAAGACTGGTTTCATCAAAAGGTTTTGGTTTATTTTATTATGACAAAGCACACTACGGCTATCTGCCTAAGGGGAGGGGGGCTATCTGCCTTCCTGGAGAACTTTCTAAGGAAAACTGGCTCGCATACACGTTACACATGGGGAAAACCACGAAAACGCCCATTTCGCTCCGGTGTGTATTTAATTATGGCAAAGCACACTAGGGCTATCTGCCTAAGGGGAGGGATGCCTTCGTGGAGGACTTTCTAAGGGAAACTGGCTCGTATACACGTTACACATGGGGAAAACCACGAAAACGCCCATGCAGCCAGCCCGTTCGCGGGATTCGAACCTCGGACCGAACTACCAGTGTTCAGCGACTTTACCGCTCGGCCGCTGTTTCATCAGGAAGGGAAAAAAAACATCTTTAAGTGACATCCACATACATCACTGGATAAACTCCTGAATCTTCAAATAATTCGACTGAGGAAATCATGGGATTCACCATTTATGATACGATATGATGTTCTATAACGTAATTTACACAACCATATAGTTTAAAACCAGTCGCTCTTCACTTTAATCTGCAATGATATCGTTTTGTCTTTTCTGTTAACACAAGCTCAATTGATGGTATTTGCTGGTGTACTCGTCCAAGTGTTTTCTCTTTGAACACCTAAATTCTTTGAAGTATCCTGAAAGTATATTCGAAAGCGTCCAACTTTTTGAACATCTTGGTACGTCTGACAGCCCAAATTTCCCTGCAAATTTTTGCTTACTTTTCTCCCTAATTTTCTTCTTTCCTTCTACAGTTATTTTCAGTGCTCACACAAGAAAATTAAGATTTTTCGACTGCTAGACTTCCATACATTTTGCATTCTTGTCAA